TGCTAGGAAGTATTTCTTCAGTCACAGAGTAGTCAGGAAGTGGAATAGTTTGGGAAGTGATGTAGTGGAGGCAGGATCCATACATAGCTTTAAGAAGAGGTATGCTAAAGCTCATGGAGCGGGAAGAGCGACCCAGTAGCGGCCAGTGAAGAGGCAGGGCCAGGAGCTGTGAATCGACCCCTGCAACCACAACTACGTGAGCACAACTAGGTGAGTACTCACACACGTATATTATTATCATGACATATTACAAATATTTAGCGTCAAATAAATTTTGAATAACCTAATAACATTGAACTCCAGTTATAAGCTCTGAGTAAAAAAAATTAATTATAACACAAACTAATTTCAACACAATATCAGGCATTACGTTTAAAAATGTAATATATACAGCAACATATAACTGATATATTTAATATTCATCAACACACTAATGCAAACCATGAATGTTGCATCAGCCTAGGATAGAGTTGATTGCACTAATGAGGGATTACAAAGCTGCCACGTTTACTCATACTCACGGGATGAGTATCACTGTCCAGTGCTCTCTTTATGGTGGTGTTCTCTCATAGGATGAGTGGCACTGTCCAGTACTGTCTTTTGTGGTGGACTGTTCACTCACAGAATGAGTGGCACTGTCCAGTACTGTCTTTATGGTGGTGTGTTCACTCACAAGATGAGTGGCACTGTACTAATCATCAGACAGCTGACCACATCAACATGCAGCTGAGTGTGACCTGTCATCGTGCAGCGTAGTGAGACCTACCATCATGCAGCTGAGTGTGACCATATCATCATGCAGCTGAGTGTGACCTATCAACATGCAGCTGAGTGTGACCATATCATCATGCAGCTGAGTATGACCATAACATCATGCAGCTCAATGTGACCTATCAACATGCAGCTGAGTGAGACCTACCATCATGCAGCGTAGTGAGACCTACCATCATGCAGCGTAGTGAGATCTACCATCATGCAGCATAGTGAGACCTACCATCATGCAGCGTAGTGAGATCTACTTTCATGCAGCGTAGTGAGATCTACCATCATGCAGCGTAGTGAGATTACCATCATGCAGCGTAGTGAGACCTACCATTATGCAACGTAGTGAGATTTACCATCATGCAGCGTAGTGAGATCTACCATCATGCAGCGTAGTGAGATTTGCCATCATGCAGCGTAGTGAGATCTACCATCATGCAGCGTAGTGAGATTACCATCATGCAGCGTAGTGAGACCTACCATCATGCAGCGTAGTGAGATTTACCATCATGCAGCGTAGTGAGATCTACCATCATGCAGCGTAGTGAGATTACCATCATGCAGCGTAGTGAGACCTACCATCATGCAGCGTAGTGAGACCTACCATCATGCAGCGTAGTGAGACCTACCATCATGCAGCGTAGTGAGATTTACCATCATGCAGCGTAGTGAGACCTACCATCATGCAGCGTAGTGAGATTTACCCTCATGCAGCGTAGTGAGATCTACCATCATGCAGCGTAGTGAGATTTACCATCATGCAGCGTAGTGAGACCTACCATTATGCAGCGTAGTGAGATCTACCATCATGCAGCTGAGTGTGACCATATCATCATGCAGCTGCATGTAACAATCAATGAAGGTAATCCTCTGTTTGAATATAGGCCAGGCTGCTGCTCACGTCTGACATGGTAAATGCCTTTTTGTTCCTCTTAATTCTTCCTTTCATCGTTCTTAATTAATCTCATGTATTTTCCTCCTCTTCCCTCTTCTCCATTTCCCTCTCTTCACAAAGTCATCCCTTGCATATTTTTCCTCTCCTCTTTCTTCTCCAAATTATTTTAGAAGGTTGAAAAAAGCAAAGACCTATTTTATTTACTTGTTTTTTAGAATCAGTGATATAAGCCAGTGTTCTACAGTGATGGGGGAATGGGAGACAACCCATGAACCCATTGAATCCCTAAACCCCTCAGCCCATGAACCCATGAACCCTTAGCAATACGGTCGGTGCCATGGGCATATACTTTCCTTATCTTGTGTACAACAGCGTCAGTGGCCTTGGGGAAGTCAAGGAGGCGCTGGTCATTTATCTGCCACGAGAAATGGTAAAAATTTCCTGTACTCTGTCCTCCCTTGCCCTGCCCTACCTTATTCTAGCCTTCACTTCTTTATTCTCCTTTACTGCTCTTCGCTACCCTATTCTCTCCTTTTTTTTGTTCCTTATTCTTCCTTTCCGGCTCCTATCTTGTTGTATCCTTCCTTTCCTTATTATCTCATTCCAACCTTTCATTCCTAATTGTCCCTTGCTCCGCCTTCTTCTGCCTTACCTTATTCTAACATCCCATACTGTATTCTCCTTTGTCCTGCTCAATCTTAGTTTGTCTTTCCCTATTCTGTTTTCCTTATCCGATCTTTTTCTTGCCCTACATTCACCCAGATACAACATTGATGTTATCACATTAGTTATTCTGCTTCAGCCGAAACGAAATTCCTGGGAGAACTGCAGAAGAGGTTTTGGGGGAGGTGGGGACGGGACGATTTAGTGGGAGGGGAGGCAGGGAGGGGAGAGGAAGGCAAGAGGGGAGAGAGAGGGGGGGAGGGGAAAGAAGGGGAAGCACTCGTAATTCTCAGACGTCGGCAGCAAGCGAGGGTTGTATGTCAAGGTTACTCTATTGTGAAATAATTTAGTCAGGTTTCCTCTGACTCGACGATTTTAGAAAAACGCTGAATGACTGAAGTGGAACCGTCGTGGACTGAGGCGGAGCTGCGGTGGATTGAGGCGGAGCTGGGATGGATTGAAGAGCAGCTGTAGTGGATTGAGGCGGAGCTGCGGTGGATTCAGGGGGAATTGCAGTGGATTTAGGCGGAACTGTGGTGGACTGAGGCAGAGCTGCGGTTGACTGACGCGTTGCCGCCGTCTATTAAGGCAGAACAGCGGTGGGTTGAGGCGGAGCTGCGGTGAATTGAGGCGGAGCTACGAAGGATTGAGGCGGAGCTGGGTGAACTGAAGGGGAGCCGTCGTGGATTCAGGCAGGACTGCAGTGGATTAAGGTGGAATGGCGGTGGATTAAGGGGTAGCTGCAGTGGACTGAGGTGGAGCCTCAGTGTGTCGCTACCGACACACTGTGGAACAATCCACTTATGTACGCTATGGACTGATGAAAAAACTCGGAAAATATTTTCCTTCATGAAAATCCTGAACTGTGCATAAGTATTCTTTTCCACACATTATAAGGACTCTAGAAGATCAAAAATCACAACACCGTGGTCAGTCCGTTCTGGACAAACAGTGTACTCTAGATGTGTATGACTATTCTTTGTACTCCAGGAGTGTATAGCCCTATTCTGTGTGTTCTGGCTGTGTATATTCCCCTCCACTGTGTACTTAAGATGTGTGTACTACTACAATGTGTAAAAACATTCTCTGATGCGTTTTCTATGGCTCTCTGAAGATTTCTTCTGGTTGTGATTTGATGCTCTGCAGATTGGTGTCTAGTATTGGTATTGTTCCGACACATAATTTGCATTCAGAGGATTCTACAAGTGCCAGTCAGCCTTAGGCAGCTGTCACCGGCACCCTGGTGGAAGTTCAGTAGCTAAACTGGTTGTCAGGCTGGCCATTCCATCCGCTGCACTGCATTTTGAAGTAGAATTTCTGATATATACATCGCTACAGCTGGCAGCGATATGTATTACTAATGGTTTATATTATTAGTGGCATGCAGCACTGACAAGTTGATGAATAAGACAAATGTTCAACACTTGGGAATCTTATTGGCGATACTCATGTATCGCATGTGTCTCATTCATATAATAATAATAAAAAAATAATAATAATAATAATAATAATAATAATAATAATAATAATAATAATAATAATAATAATAATAATAATAATATCTTTATTTACTACAAGTATATGTACATGGTATATAGTCCTAGCTGACGTCAGGTCACGTCAGGTAACTTGCTCCGAGACTTAGGCCGGCAAGCCAGTGGAAGGCCTAGGCCAGATGACCAAAAGCTCCAGCTGCTGTTCGTCATATGACTAAGATCACTGTCAGGAAGTACTTGTCCTGTTTTCTGACGAACCTTAGCTAGCTTAATCAAACCTCCGAGACTAAGAGAAGCGTGATAAGATAACAAGCAAGTTCCATATCGTTCGTTCTAATTGTTCTTATCTTAGTACTAACAGCTCCTCGTTCTAATTGCTCTTCTTATCACAGCACTAACAGCTCCTCGTTCTAATTGTTCTTCTTATCTTAACACTAGCAGCTCCCTGCCGGTAGAGATATCTCCAAGAAGATTCCATTGACCCTGTGTATTGATCGAAAAATCTACTCTCTCTCCTCGAATCCCTGCTAACGATTATTACAAAAAAATACTTTCCTTCACAAAATATTATTTTCCTTTCCCTGAATCTACTGTAATTTATAAGAAAATACATTTTTCCCTTTGTAAAAGATACTTTCCTGCCTCTGATTCTACAATATATAATGTTAAGTACAAAAAGGGTAGGTAGTAGGTTGGTAGCACCCAGCGAGGTACTACCGTCCTGCCAAGTGAGTGTGAAACGGAAACCTGTGGTAGGTATACTAGTGTCTTTTTTCCTGTCTCATAAACACGCTGGATACCAGGTATATCTTGCTACTTCTACTTGCACTTAGGTTACACTACACATGTATGTACACACACACACACACACACATATATATATATATATATATATATATATATATATATTATATATATATATATATATATATATATATATATATATATATATATATATATATATAATATATATTATACATACCCCTCTGGGTTTCCTTCTAGTGTCTTAATAATTCTTGTTCTTTATTTCCCATTATCTCCATGGGGAAGTGGAGCAGAATTCTTCCTCCGTAACCCATGCGTGTCATAAGAGACGACTAAAATGCCGGGAGCAAGGGGCTACTAATCCCTTCTCCTGTATAAATTACTAAAATCTAAAAGATGAACTTTCGTTTTCTTTTTAGGTCACGCTGCCTCGGTGGGATACGGCCGGTTTGTTAAAAAAAAAGGTACAAAAAGATACTTTTCCATTTACAATAGATACGTCCCCTTCCTCATCGTCCAAGGCAGTAATCCCCAGCTGTTTATTATGAAAGGCCCAATTTGCAAAGATAAATTAAAAGGATGGCCGCATTTGTAATTTTTGTATATTTTTGTGAATAATAACAATCATATTTCGTAAGTGTTGACACTGTGTAGTGTGGAACCTACATTAAAGTGAATTCATAATTTCATGTGAGGGCCGTAGCTCGATCGCTAGCGCACTTAACTCACACACAGAGGTCCGGGGCTCGAATCTCCTCCTGTACGGCTGGAAAACATTAGAGACGTGTTTCCATAAGACACCTGCTGTCCTTGTTCACCCATCAGTGTAAAATGGGTACCTGGGTGTTAGTTGACTGGTGTGGGTTGCATGACTCACGAAATAGTAATGACACGATTGCAAACAAACCATACCAAGGGCGGGATTTGAACCCGCGATATGTATTCGTCCAACCTAGTTGGACGAATCTTGTTGTGGCTAGCTGGTCCAGTGGCTAACGCGACGGTCTGGAGTTTTAAGACTCTCTGACTGCGGGTTCAAATCCCGCCCGTGGTATGGTGGGTTTCATCCTTGGATAAAAACTGACCTAATTTGCCCGAAATGCTTAGTATAACAAGCGGTTTTCTATATAGTAATATGTCACTGACGTCAGCTAGGCCTGTATACCTTGTACATGTACTTGTAGTAACTGAAGACATTATATTATATTATTTTCTAGAGCGGACACACGCGGCCCTCGGGCCGCATGCTGGGGACCCCTGGTCTAAGGTATCAAGTCGCGTGTTCGTATCCCTGTTTTCTGGCTTCGCTTGTGAGGTGCTAAGTTACTTAGTCATTGGTGACAGTTTAGGCAAGGGCTTCACTTAATTGGAAGACTCCAGATGCTTCCTTAATCCGGATACTGGGTTTCGGATATTCGGTTACATCTTATAAAAACGCTGGTTTTAATATTAACAGGAAATTGTTACCGCCGTTATTGGTTAGAATATCTAATGTTATACTACTACTATTACTACTACTACCACTACTACTTCTACTACTACTACTACTACTACTACCACCAATAATAATAATAATAATAATAATAACAATGATAATAATAATTTTAATAATTATTATTATTCTTGCGTTGTTGTTGTTTCTGTGATAACTTTTGTCTAAGGAAGACGTCAGATTTCGCCAAATTCATTGTAAATCAGATTTTCGCTAGTTCGTCAACACGTCCTCTGCATTCCGTCGATTAGGGCACAAACAGGCATTTATTTTCAGTATTAAAACTGGGCAGTAATTCGAAGAAAGATATGCAGATGGAGGGAGAATAAACTACCTCGTTTGCTATTCAAAAGCAGCAGGTTAGAAGAAATCGACTGCTCTTGTACGGAACGAAAGGAAGACGCATAGTTTGAGAGTAACTTTCAATGATTGGCTTTCAGTCACCCAGTAGCTTACGGGGGGGGGGGAGGGGGGGAGGAAGCAGGGGATTTTAACAAAAGCGAGATGGAAGGGAGGAGGGAAAGGGTAGGTGTCGAGGGATGGAAGGGGTGAGGGAGGGAGGAAGGGTGCTAGAGGGTAGATGGAACAGTGTTGGCAGGGAAGAGGGAGGATGCTGGAGAGAGAGTTATAGAGAACTTGCTCTAGGAAGTGTTGTAAGGAGGGCGCAAGAAGTGAAGAAGGAAGAAGGGTGCAAGAAGTGAGGAGGGAGGAAGGGAGGGTGCAGAAGTAGTGTAGGGAAGTTGTAAACTGGATGAAGGTAAGACGGTTGGGTTCTGCGATGATTCCTAAGAATGAAACTTGGTAATTCCCGCAAAAGTGTACTAATATTACTCCTAGATGCACCAGCTAAGCCCTTGGAAAGGCATCAGTGTATCTATGGTTTATAAACCAGACATGATATAAGGCTACACAACTTCGGGATAGGCAAGGCAACATGAATGACGAAGCTTGGGCGGCTATCTTGACTAATTAAGAGAACTGAATTTTTCCTGGAAGGATTCTCAACAGAAGAAATCAAGATCTGCTTAGTTTGTTAGATATAAAATAAATTAACTGCAAGTGTTTCATTAAACCTGCAGTATACCTGAAAACCAACATTAAGTATAATTTAATACCTAAAATAGGGATGCATATATCTATTATTTATTGTGTGAATATACTTTCCTTACCTGGAGTTTGCAACAGATAAGGCAAATGTAGATATAAACCTGGATGTACTCCTGTTAATTTTTTTTGGACTTAGTTAATAGGCCTTTTGTACATCCATTTGCTCTTACTCTACCATCCAGAGGATGGATATGCGATGCAGATTCATCGGCAAAATTTAAAATCTAATTTGTTCGGGCTACTCAGTAAAGGCTGATAAGTCTGACATTAGTTACATAAGTAGCCTTATTATGCATATTATGCCCACCCTGTGGGCGGTATTCTAAACATACAGAGGCACAAAATGGGTCCAGGACTGGACCATAAAGTTTCGAGAGCAAAGGGACTTATAGTGGCCATGAACTATTTACAAATCAATGATTTAGTAACAATCGTAATGAGTTGTTTATTTAGAAATGAATTCAGTCCCAGAAACGTCACAGTAAAGCTAATTAACGACGAGTGGAAGTTCCAGACTGTTACCAGCGCAGAAGATGGTTTGGATATTCTCGCCCCAAAAATGTGCAGACAGATAGGACCTATAACGTCCACGTTTAAATTCCCAATAGTGGAAGATTTCATTCAGATTATTAACTCCGGTGGGTTAGGTGACCCAGGATAACTAAAGTTATGACTTTCTGGGTCCTCAGGATACCTCTAACAGCAACTAGTGGATATCTATCTACTACTAGAACACTGGTAGTAGGTAATAGACTTGTTATCAACGAAAATTAACTAACTAGTAGGTACAGCAGACTATACATAACTTGCGACCTACTACTGTACCTTTTTCACTGTTAGGTGAACAAAGGCAACTCCAAAAACCACTAAAGTGATCCTGTATTCATCTGTCAGTGTCAGGAGTTAAAAAAAAAACCTGAGTTGAAAAGTTTTAAGTTGAATTCAGCATATTATCATGATATATATATATATTTTATATATTATATATATATTATTATTATAATTTTATTTATTATTATTATATATATTATATTATTATTATATATATATATATATATATATATATATATATATATATATTATATATATATATATATATATATATATATATATATATGTCGTGCCGAATAGGCAGAACTTGCGATCTTGGCTTAAATAGCAACACTCATCTTGCCATATAGGACAAGTGAAAATTTGTGTATGCAATAATTTCTCCAAAATCATTCTGAACCTAACGAAAAAAATGTTTCATTGTGTTTGTTTAGTATTAAATTATTGTAAACAAATCTAAAATATATATAGTTGGGTTAGGCTAAAATAAATTGTTCTTGTTATATTAAGGTTAGGTAAGTTTTCTAAGATTCTTTTGGAGCAAAATTAAAATTTTTTACATTAACAGTAATGAAAAATATATATCTTTAAACGTATAAGAGAAAATTTTAGAAAGGACTTAATTTTAAACGAGTTCTTGCTAATTGACCAGTTTTACATATTCGGCACGACATATATATATATATATAATATATTATATATATTATATATATATATATATATATATATTATATATATATATATATATGTAGTATGTCAAACACTAGTTACATACTTTGATCAATCCTTTTTAAACAATAAAGAGATAAGATAACCAACCTGAAACCAAGGACTGATCCTCCTTAATGCGACATTATCCTCACTACGAATCAATCACCTGGACTTAGATCTGCAGCTCGCGAAGACTGAACTGGTTACAAGGGAAGGAAAGGAAGGGGAAAAGAGATATTCTTTAAGGACCAAGCTTTTAAGGAGACTGAGGAACAATTAACAGCTTTGGGCTTTTACAGTGTTTTCCAGAGCTTTGCTAGAGAGGGAGAGAGAGAGAGAGAGAGAGAGAGAGAGAGAGAGAGAGAGAGAGAGAGGAGAGAAGAGAGAGAGAGAGAGAGAGAAGGAGAGAAGAGGGGGAGAGAGGAGAGAGAGAAAGAGAGAGAGAGAGACAAACATAAGTACCGAACCTGTCGTAACTAACTGTAAAATTTCCAGCTGACCGTGCTGCAGCTCTCCCAGCTGACGGTGCGTAGCATCTTTGTTTGAAAATGTGGATGGCAATGGGCAACGGGTAGATTTGAGATGATAGTCTACATACAATTTGTGTGTATTTTATATTACAGAGGTAAGAGATCGACAACACTCTCGTCTGAAAGCTTGAGGATTCAAGAGCAAACGGGGTGTGTTCAGCTGATAGGAACTTGAATCACGCTTTCCCATCATCTTTCAACATTGGTATTCCACAAGTCAACACTGGAGATATCGCCATGATATTTGCCTTTTACAGAGGGATCTTGAGAGAGTGGTCGAGCATGCACAAGTTTAGAGTACGCTCGTTTATATATCCTTGTTTGAGATGGCTCAGGCAGAACGAGAGGGAGGCTCTGTGATTTCGTGTGTGATTCTTCTCTTCCATCTAGTGGGATTTTGTGTATTATATCTTTTTCATGACTGTCCTGAATCTCGGAGCTTCTTCGGCGATCATTCTCCGTCTCAGTACTGGATCTGGCAGTCTCCTCCACCTTCAGTAGTAGGAGAGATCGAGGGGCACTTTATCATTAGTTACAGTTTTTTGTCTAACAAACCTTTGTCTCCCTCTATCGGGACCAAAGTGCTGAATGATCTTTTTGGTGTTTATTAGGAAGGAGTTTCTTCACGCAGGTCTTTGTCAGATGAAGACCCGCTGAGTGACTAAGCAGCCACTGAACTGCCGGTGCTGAGTTTCAGCGATTAAGCAACTGGTATATCACTGGTGCTATTTACTTGCTTTCCAGGGATAAGTTTTTCCTCCCTATTAAAAACAAAGGAACAACATATACACGT